AAGTGTGGAGAGACGGGAAGCCGAGTTTCCCGCCCTCCTCTAGCCTAACTGGTTGCTGAAATGTAAGCAGTGAGCAGACAAATTCAACAGAACGGTAGTTAGCTTACAACAAGGACAAACACGAAAAAACGGAAAAAGGCAAACAAGCAAGAACAAACGAAGAAGCAAAGACAACAAGGCACTATCCAGCTTGCCTGGGGGGCTACCTGCAGCAACTAATCAAATATGGTTTGAATGGGAAAATCATCCAGTAAAGGTGTGAAAACTTGCTACTTGTTTTCCAAAAAAAGATTTTATAATTACCCAGAATTAGTACGCCTAGTATAAAGTAGTTATTACGCTGGTGTTTATTTGCATTTCACTGATTATGAAGGAACATGGAACAGATTGAGAAGACCTTTTATAACCCCAATTCAGCGCTAGTAACAAGATTTATGTGAGTCTTGCTCGTATACAGTTGTCCATCCCAAGAAAGTTAATCGTGCATGCGATCGTGCAGACCTCATTACATTTAGATAAAAATGGACGTTTGTCTATTAGTCTTCCGTGAGTTCAATAACTGGGAATTTCATAGACCTCAAATATATAAGTTATGAGAATTTAATTTGTAGCTTGAAACCATCCATAGAGAGCCTTTAGGAGTGGATTAAAGGCAAAATCTCCGCAATAAATTTTCATGCGAGATCTTGACATTCCACAAGAAAACACATTGGAGTCTGCTGCCTTACGAAGGAATACTCGTCAAAAATGCTTTCCCGAGATCTATTCGAGCTTTCATATTTTATGCTTGGCATTATGAGTAGCCGCGAGCTGCGCAACTATCGATTATTGTACCGCTGTGTACTGTAGGTGTATCTGATCAAATGGATAATCCGTGATACCACAATGATTCTTCTTATCCGACAACGCCTCATTGGATCAACGCTATAGTTTGAGGAGAAAATCACCCTTCTTTGAGCGTTCATTCAAATAAAATGTACATACAGAGAGATAGTATACAACCGTAATTTACATTTCATTGAAATGAATCACTTAAATGATCGAGTCAGTACATTGATCGCCCTCTTGGCCAAGGTTGTTCATGTTGTCAGAAATCATGTCATTCGTGGCCGAAGCGTACTGACAAGTGTTTTGGATCAGAGGGAACAACTCAGCTGGTCAGTGCCTGATAACGACACTAAAACATATAAGAGAGGCCTCCGAAGGAAATGCAAGTTAAGCTTTGAAGCCCATACTGCTGAGTTAGGCTTATTTAAGAGGCATTGTCAGTAAAAATGGGGTGAATGAGTAATCGGGAATGGCAGTTAATCTTAAGGATTGACAGTTTCACAAGGTGTCCAGCTGTGCGGGGCAGTCATTCCACTCCAACCCTGCTTGTCATCCAAGTCGCATCACTGATTCCCTAAAGCTGTAGAATAGACAGGACCCTACTCAATTAAGCCTCGCCTTACCTCGAGGGTAAGTACGGTCAGCTTCTTCCCTCAATTCACACGACTCGTCCGTTTAGATTCTTAGTGGGTAAGAGCTCGGGTTGTTGCACAAGTTACAACAGAGTTAGAGCACAAACTAGTTTTGTGGGCTGAGTTGACCAACTGTAGATACCCCTAAGCGTGTGAATGTCTTCAAATCACGAATTCAATAACTAGGATGTGTTCAGAAGAAGGCAGTCTGTCGGTCTAGGTTGGTTCCGAACGAAGAGATCAGACATGTCCCACGTGGGTATATGGAAACCTAGTTATCTCGACCGTAGCATGCGACGAGATCCGCCGTGTTCCTCACAACGTGATGGGTGCAAAACGGTGACTTTCGCGTGAACTAGTTTCTAGTGGTCGAAGGCTTGCGCACCACTACCGCACTCTCCCCTCCCTCATCCCCTGGACCCGGTGGCGAGGCACAGTCAAAAAGACTGGAGGTGGGATCGGCCGCAGTGGCTGACAAAGCTAAACAACCCATCCCTCCATGCCACACACGCCTGGTTCGCGCACTATGGACCAAGTTTCCACGCAAACGAGGCACTAGGGACTCGAATCCCGTCAGGGCTGGAGAGCTTTAGGTGCCACATTCAGAAGGAGCCATTGCGGCCTGGCTATCAGTCCTGAGAGGAGTATTGAGTTATCCCATCTGCTGACAGCCTTCAAAACCACGAATATAGTAGTAGTGGTGGCATCAGTGGTGGAAGTGGTGGTGGTGGCTAACGAATCTGAGTTGAAGAGGGACAATCTAAAATAAATAATCGTTCCACGAGGGCCTAGGGGAGGATTGTCATTGGTGGACTGGCGGTCACTCTGAGACAGTTGCATCATATCAGTCATTCCTCATCGGCTTCATCTGCATCCAGTCATCATCAGTAGTCCAACGAAGCTGTTAAATGTTAACCACACTGACTGGGGGTTCCCATCTGAATTAGTTCTAGATCTGTACATTTTCGGTTTCATGTTGACAAGTATTTTGGTTATTTCAAACGATGACAAACATCCATGCCAGGAATTGTCCTTCAACTACAAAATCCAGCATAATGGTTCACTATTTAAGATAAAAGTGCCTGAAGACGGTTGTTGATATGTAGACTGGATTCATTTTTGTGGTCTGGATGGCTTGTTTAACGCAACTCCTCTGAGAACTGGTATGCACACAAGGTCTTACTACTCAGTTTAGAAAATTGGATGTGCAGCGAAAGATACGGTTGAACATGGAATTGGAAACTACCTCCCAGTAATACAGATGGCCTTGCGCTGAACTCCAGAGAGATTAGATCTAAGGCCTAGGTTAAGGTTGGGGTCAGGACAGTTGATTGGATCACTCTCTTGGAATTTAGGGCAAGGTCACCTGCACGGGAGGATTCTTATTCCCCTCTTGCCAAATATACTGAAACGAAGGGCATAATCGAATGCTGGGGCGGATGCAATTCCTATCATTTGGTGGGAAATAGTGCTATTTCATTGCTGGTGAATAAACTAGTTTAAATCTGAAGACGAGATTGCAAATTCAAATCCAAGAGATGTTCCGACCGAAACACTACGGGCTCGCGAAACTAGGGTATTCTGGACTAAATAAGTCAAAATTTCTTTGTAATGTGTCGGAAGTTTTAGCTTCACTTTACTTCATTTTTGACTGTTTGCAACACAGGGAAATTTGTTCTTGGTATCCTTATTCCGTCTGCTGGAGACGACACGATGTTTCTGTTGATGAAAATATGTGCATTTTCCGAGCATCTCTACATTCAGGAAAAAAAAGTTTAAAAGAAATAGTACAAGTAGGTTTTAGCATAACCAGCAGCACGATCGTCAACGAAGCCTCCAAGAGGGTTTTGCAGTGCAGACAAAGACCTATCTATCGGTTACCATCGATGATACTGTCTAATTTGGTTTGCGTTGGCAGTCCCACTTGATGTCATCTAAAGTTTGTTTGTAGACAGCCTCTAGCATCAAGGAGCAGTCTGGATGATATTACTGCTAACCGGGCATCCCGAGGGAGTAGAATATTAGTCATGACTAATCAGGAAAGTTTAAACCACTCAGCCCTACTGTCACCATACTCAAGGACTTTCGTCACGTTAGGAGTTCCTCCTCCTCCTCCTCCTCCTCCTCCTCCTCCTCCTCCTGCAAATCATGCCCAGCACCAACAACGGCACTTCAGACCTGAATGTTGGAAATTCTAAAGGTTTATCAGCGAGTGGTGGCGTGTTAATTTGACAAGGAACTTGCTTCTAAAGTCGATTTTGCCCATCCTTAGATGACATTTTCTGAGTGTTTCCTTTTATTTACCGAGTACCTGCAATGCACTTATATTTTGTCTCTTTACGTAGTACACAAAATGTCGAAAAATACAATCAAATTCCACTGTCCACTTCTTGCTATATTATCATCTGACTTACTCGGAGATTCTGCTACAAAAGTCAACCATGTTGCTTTTCAACATTTCAGGGCAAAATGAGTTTTGCAGCTTTGTATGCACACAACAGTTAACGTAGCTTTGAATAACGCCAACGGAAATTGCAAACTGCGAGCTTGACGCAGCCCGTACTTTTCTGCCCGTACGAGTTCCCTATTTCTCATAGCCTGTAGTAAGGAGCATTCAAAGTAGGAAACAGTCCCCCATAGTCTACTGCAGGCAGCAAGTACTGTATGGGTCTTTTCTCTTTATAGACAAATTTACTTTGACCCTCTGTCGATATGCAGGCATCTGCACGGCCTCGAGGTGCAGACCGAGGGGTAACTAGGCTCTTGGCGTTACCGCCCACACCAGTGGACATTCATGGTAAGAGACCCTGACTAACAGCTGCTGTTGGGTCTTTCAAACACTCTCGCCTCAGATATGTAGACCAAAAACCATTTTTCAAAAAAATGGTTGTCTTTGTGTGATTAAAATTTCTAGAGACTGCATTACGCCTGACCTGTGCTCTATTCTGTTCCTCTATATCATTACTGGAGTTGGAAATGCGGAAAGCGTATTCCTCAGTCAGCGTCCTTTTTGATTAGGAGGGTGACTGTCTGAGCTAGGCGTTGTTAATGAACGGTGTTCAAGCTTCTTTAGAATCCGGCGACATAACTACTTACCCCATGATAACTGCTGAGTATGATGTGAACGATTGGGGAATCTGATGTAGGGAAGCGACAGACCCATACTGTTATACAACGTGTTAGGCCTCCTAATTTAGGTACCACCAACGCATTCAGGCGCGTTGGTGTAAATGACGGAATTTATTGACGTATTAATGTTGAAAAGAATTTTTATTATGAGTGACAACCACTCATCCCTGATGGTTTGACCGAGTATTGACAAAGAGTGAAAATGTAATCTCGAAATGGATCAACGCAAAACAGTGAGTACTCGTCGTTCATGATCACTGTTCCACTCCAGCAGATATGTTAGAGGGGTAATCAACCGTCAACTGCAGCCAGAGTTATTAGTTAGACACATATAACGAAAACGTAGTCAGCTAATTAGAACTCCATGCTTCCTGTAGTAAGCCAAAGGACCCTTAAACACTGTTAAAGACTCGATAAGACCCATCGATATCCAGGTCAAAGGGTGACGAACTACATTTTAATTAGCAAGTCATCGTCAAAGGATCAAATCTGCAGTTCTCCGTTGATTTGCTAAGACCCGACAACTGTTTGGAGCAGACGAATGGTGAACATAAATAACAGAGAATCGTCCGACCTCAAAACGACTAATTAGTAACAGTATAAACTAACTCTAAATTCAACTTCCGCAGAGGTTACTTCAGAACAATTTCAGTGAGTTTCCTGTTCAGATAACGCCTACGTTCAGTAGGTATTTATGCGTGTATGTTGTTCAAAGCGGGATTGGCAGTTTTCATTAGGCCATTGGCTACAGGGTCCGTGTCCTGCGCTGCTGTTAGGGTTGGCTGGAAAGCATCCAAAAAGTGACAAACCAGAATAAACTCTACACGAACTTCCCTCCGAAGTACTATGTACGTAGGTGTCTATTCCCGCCACTTAGGCGTGTGCTGTACCGAACGCGCGCCGTGAGCGGCACTCACGCACACGTGCCCTCAAAACAGATGAACTCATCAGACCCCCCAGTGCCGTTCGCTTGCAGTCAGCACATGTGCCCACGAAGGCGACGTGATGGCTTTCAGTCCGGGAAAGTGCTTCCAGCGAAGTGCAGCACCACATGGCTGGTAGCACTATTAGAGGAGTACGTAATTCAACCAAGAAGGTTGGCATACGCAAAAATAAGTGTTTTACGAGACACTACCAGGCGGGAGTCAAGTCGAGTGAGGTAGACGATGAAATAGGCAAACAGACAGGCTTTGTAAGTGATTAGGTACATTAGCAGAGCCTTGAAAAACGGGAGGGGAAGGATGGAAGTTGAAAGTCTTCAGGCCTCTACCAGACGGGGAGCTCCGCAGCAAGGGTGGTTGTATTTCTACTGCGTTCTGAAGTTTCGAAAGCAGGACACCCTTGATGCGAAGCTCCTCGTCTCTTCTATCGGCCCAGCATAGGCAAGTGGTTAGTCCTAGGCTGCCCAAACATAAAGAACGCAAATGAGGCTGGGATAGAGCGACCGTATCTCTGCCTTCCGCTTAATATTGTGCATAAATAGGCGTTCTGTAAGTTCACAAGGCGTGAAACGGACAGAAGTAGTAACTTGTAAACTGGTAAAGTATTCTTTACAATAGTTGATAACTTGGTCAACAGACTCCGCATCAGCGGCAGCTTATAATTAACCTTAATTAAACAAAATCTATACGTAGCGGTCGCGCACCGATTTTCAGCCTATGTCTGCAAAATTGGGCAATCAGCACGCACCGAAAACAGGGTATGTGAATGAGCAGCAGCTCGTTTTTTACCATCAGGATTCCCAATAAAGGTGTCTACTGGTCGGCATAACACGAAAGATCATCTAATGGTTAGTAAAAGTCCGCATGGGAACTGTAAGAGGAAGAAGCCTTGCCGTCCACGAGTGTTTTCAAAGCCGTGCAGTCTAGTTTCACAGACGCTTGACATAGTTTGCGAGTCTGGTAGGGATCATATACGCAGGACCACTTGGCAACCTTACACAAAAGGGTCCCTTTTATACGGGAATGGTGTTAAGTGGGGGTTTTATAGGTGGGAGAAAAATCGCAACAAGAAGGAAAATTCAGAAGAGCGCTTGGCGAGCATACGCGTGCCTTCGATAAATTCCCATCGGGCCTGTACATTTATATGGGAACAAGGTACAAACTGAAACGTATGAGGGATAAGAGCAGTCGATTGAGCTTCGTCTTCTCATACAAACGGACCATATGAGTAGAGGAGAGGGAAGGGAGGTGAGAGGAAGCAGTAGGTGACAGTGAGAGTTAGGCAGAGCCATGTACAAGGGCAATACACAAACTTTTACAGTTGTGCACTCCTCCAACAGAAACGTAATCTATAACTAGTCCCAAAACTAACCCCAACGCTAACCCTCAGACTAACCCCGACCCTAACCCTAAAACTAACTCTGAAACCAACCCTAACCCTAAAACGAACCAAGGGTCGGATCTTATTTCGTAGCCGTACCTGCAATAGACAAGCCCCGGCCTAACCTCTAACCCTAACCCAAACCCTAACCTCAACCTCTAACTCCTAACCCAAACCCCTTACCCTTACCCTTAACCTCTAACCCTAACCCCTAGCAGGTACGGCTATGAAATTTGATCTTACCTAACTATAACCCCCAAACTAACTTTAATCCCATAACTAATCCCAGTCAAGCCTAAACTATAAAACCAGACCCCAACCTAACCCTAACACTAAAAATAACCCCAACCCTAACTTTGTACTTCGGCCTATCACTTTCCGCAAACTAAATCCTAGTCTCCCACCCCAAACCCCAGCAATAAACTCATGAACAAAATCTAACCCACACAGCAGCCCTAAAACCAACTGAACGGCGGTAACACCCTAATACGGCACGTCCATATCCTTAGATCCCCTCCAAACCCTTACTCTGTCCTCTAACTCTCCCAGCACAAATCCCATAGTCCTAGTCTCAACCACTGAGGCTTAACAGCGACACATACAGTAGCTTGAAGATCGACCTTAGTGATTCCATATCACAGTATAACATGCCTATCTAAGTCACATAAGTAACCAACTAAATAGTATAAGAGTGGGTTCCTGCACATTAGATGATTATCGCGGGTTCAACCAAGTTGAAAGCTTTTTGTTGAAATGGATGGGCGTTGCGAGCCGGTAAGAAGGGAATATTACTAAATTTGTGCGGCTGACAAGGATGTTAAGCAATTTCAGGAGTCGGCGGTTCCTTCGCGTCCTCTACCAAAAGTTCCTGGCTCTATGTATGATGCATATTCTCGTAACATTGGGGGCGCCCAAAACTCACGTAGATACCCGTTTACATTTGGAGGAAGCGGATGGCGTTGGTGCAGTAGAAGAACAGTGCCAACGAAAATATAATCTGGAAATACTTAGTTATGAACACCTCCCAGCTGCAGGGGAATATCCAAAAGATGAAAGTTAGGTAAACTGTAGTTTCACTGAAGACTGGATGTACTCTCGAGCATGTATCAGTGTTGACGTGCTTTTGGTCCGCCGATTTTTCTTCTAAGATCTTTTGCATGCCCAGATCTAGACCAGATATTTGACAGTGTCAATAGGATAGATGAATTAAACCCGCAACTTTGCTTTAAAGAAGTCCCATGAACCAACAACAGGGAAACCCCTGAAAGCTCTAAAGGCCGCGTTTGTACTCAACAACTAAACAAGGGACATTTACGTAACCAGTCATCAGCTGACAGAACAGACTACCCAAACAAGTAACTATGCATTTGTAGGACACTGCTGAACACTCCAGTAGATAACTGCGCCTTCATATTTGTGAAATTTCTTGTGGAAGAGCAGAATAGTATTTGAAGTTTTCTATGAGCAGTGTTCGCCCATCAATCCTGATTGCAGAACAGAACACTGACTTTCCGTTTTAACTTAGAATTCTGATCTACAGCCAACGTCAGTGTCAATGAAACGTTGGTTGACCGAAAATTGAAAAAGATTACCGACAAAGACGAGGAATACTGAAATCACTAGTTCCAACATATTTGCAATCATCGGTCCGCCCCCAGGCTGGCTGCTTTTCGGGATACGCAAAGTCATACGACATGTGACGTTCACTGAACGGACGTGGTTTTAGGAGGATGTAGGAGTGTGCCCTTTTCAGTGAAGCGCTGGTCTACAGCCCTTGAAGACGATCACGCAGCAACAAGCAATGCTTAGTTAAGTCAGAGAATTCCCGAACAGTTGCAAGCCCAGAGCTACATTTTTCGGTAAAGCGTTCTTTGCGCAAAAGCAGGGGGATGTCCCATATATTCGCTGACATGTGTGCTTTTTGTCTTGGGAGAGAAAGTAGCCTTGTATAGTGCACTAAGTGTAGCCTTTGTCACCAGATTTGGCACGGTAGGCATAAGCTATTTCAATTTCTAACGGATGTCAGTGAACACAAATCGACGCTGAAGTTACGAATCCTGTGCAAATTATACCTCTGGCTGCCTTGGGAACTCAGGTCGAGACGCTGACATTAGTTGTAGGCACGTTATTGGATCGGACGGCGTGCTTTCGTGCATGCAGAAATAGTTATCTCATACTGTGCTAGCGGTCTGACACAGTGTGCAATTTTTATTTGGTATAGAGTTCATACACGGCTCAGAAGCATGAACACGACGACATAATAGAGAGACATTGACTGGATACTAGTTTCCAAAATTAGATTTAACAATGCATCCGTGTGGAGTTGGCTGAGCACTCGTCAAAAGTGGACTCCCTCGATTTCTTCTTCCTCTGATGCATGTTGATCCACCTTCAGTAGAAACGACTTAAATAGATTACCACGAACAAATAGACTGCAGAGGAACTGATGGGAATGTCTCATTAATGACCTCTGTCTAGCGCAGTTTCGCACAGTACATTTAACGAAGTGTTGTCAGTCAGGAAGAACACATTCAGCAAATCACGTAATGCTATTAAGCATAGCTTTTGCAGTAGGTCAAAATCAACGAACTATTTTTGTGTGAAGTTACTTAGAGTTTAAGATTTTTGACCACCTTGTCGGATATTTTCCCTTAATTCCACAGGATTTTCATAATAAAAATAGTTCCCTTAGAAGAATAATATTACACTGACCTTTTCGCGGCTCTGCAGGTGAGAAACTGCGCTTAAGTTGAGGTAGCAGTCCGAACTCAGCCAAGATATGGCTGTCCAGTGCGGAGGCCTGGATAGCACACTGAATAGTCGCCTCAAACTACGCAGATGAGCCGGTCAGCCGCATTTCCGAAATGGATGCGACTCATGATCGAAAGTTCTTCAGTAACCCGATCGATACTAAGTTCACAAAGTAGGCTCATTTCGTAGGCAGAACTACTTAAGGCATGTGACCTTGATTAGTTGAATTTGGAGAACCCATCGACATAAAAGGTGCAAAATTTAATATAATCCGTTTGTAAACAACACCACCTACTAATGGTAGCCAGGGCTGAAGAGAAAACAAATCAGGTATCCTTAAGAGAAGTATGAATACCAGTCAGATGACGATGCCATCACCAGACATCCCGTCTTTGTCCACCAGTATTTCCTTCAGTGAGGCGATAAGTTAATTATCTGAGGAGATTGTTAAGCAGGACTTTTCAATTGCCATATCAGTTTTTACCCTAAAGGAACTGCTCCCTCTCCGCATATCACATGCTAACTTCAGATTTGAGGACCAGTTCTGCCGCCACATCGACGATGTACCGAAGGAATCACCCCTTGAATCTCTACCAGCGATTACTTCATTAGAAACCTGAGAAGCAAATTCACTTGTCTATAGAGAGCCTAGATTCCTATGTCCAATATGTTAGTGTCATCTTCTTAAAGGCAGGTGAGGGACATGACTTAGGCGCCGTCATAGATAAAGTGAGAAAAGGCACTTTGCCTTCCTGGACAGGACAAAGCACACGGCGACGACCGGATGCGTAAGCCTTACTTTTTATTACTGCAACCTGTCCGCTTATTTGATTTAGGCAGGCATGACGCATTAGAGTTACGTTTCCGACTAAGTGCAAGGAACTAATTAAATTTATGATTAAGGCTGAGGCCAAGTTAAGAATTTGGGTTAGGGGAAGGGCTGGGGTTAAGTTTGTTGGCCACATGCCATCTCACACAATCCGGCCTTCCTTAACCGGTGACCTTGAATTATCTGCTTTCCGCTCTTTTACAAGCTCTTAATTCACACATTTAGAACTGCGCGGTCTGTTTCGGCACCTCTTTGGAGTAATAAAACAGACATAAGGCAGGAATGCGAGTTTTCTCGATGACTTCCACAGATTCCGTTAATTGCTGCGTCCATCTGCTTTAATGATGAAACTAAGATTAACATTCATTCCGTATTGTAGGAGTCCCTGGGCTTTTTTCCCCAGTGGGATCGCATACACAATCTCCGTCAAACACCTTAGTTCCCCTAATTCAAAAACAAAGGGCAGTTTACTGCCTTCCCAACCGAATTAGAAGGTTATGTTCTGAAGACAGGCCGGACAATAAATTCGCCTCCATGTGAAACACTCTGCGGGAGGGAGCCTCTCCTTAAATGTTCCTCTTAAGGCATATGGAGAACACCCATAAAAAACGGACGTGCTGAAGGGTGAGGAGAAAGAGTTATTTCTCACATCACTGTCTCGAATGTACCCCGTCAGTCAGGCAGTCGTTTGGGCTCTGTTATTGCACTCAGGTATCGAACGTCCAATATAAGACTAATCTTCCCAAGGGCAGGCTGCTATTTCAGCCTGTGTCTGCGTCCCTATTTCTTTCCGTGAAGCAGCTTTTGCCGGTCGAAGGTCTAGATGGCTATCCAAGCGAATACGAGATTAGCATCCTGTTGGGCTAAACCCAAACATGAGAAAGCCCATCGGTAGCCTAATCGTAGCTCATGTGATTGACAGCGACGCCATTCAAGCATTGTGAATCATTTGTAATGTACCGGTGAGAGATTTTAAACTCCCGCGTCAGCGAATACTTGCGACAGCAGAGGTGGTGATCATACGGTCAACAAACCCAACCATGTGCTTGCGGAAGGCGTTCATTCAGGCCCTCCGGTTACCCTGGCCAAAACCGAACTCTACATGTTCCTCTCCCTCACGTTCTAATGAAGAGACACAAACGCACCTCAGTGATACCCTTCCCTTCACCCTGACCTCGAAAGTAAACCATTATCACTCCCCTGTCCCCTATCGCCCTTGACATCAACCCTTCTTGATTTATTTTCCTCCTTGACTCCCTAGTTCCAAAGTGACAGTTGAAAACATCTCAGGTTCCAGGTACGACTTTAGGGTAACAATTGCGGACTACACTAAATCGCCTATAACATTAGATTTCCCAGTCGTTTAGGATTCTAGAAATCTCACTTTGAATCTTCTGTAATTTCAGCTTAACTTGTAGCGACTAGGCGGAGCGTGTGCTCAGTGCGCTACAATCATCAGCTCAAATCCAAAGTTTTAAAGCGAAAACAGCATTTACCAGATTGATGGGTTTATTGTATACAAAACCCAGGATTGTCCTCTCAGGCGGCAGTGGCCGTTGGCGAAGCCAGGGCTGGTGCTGACTTCGTCCAGTGAGGCCTGAGAGACCCTGGGACAGTGGTGGTAGCCGCTTTTGTAGGCTCATGGGCCAAGCCCAAGTGGTCTCCAATCGGCTCCCTTTTCCTCCTACTCCGCTTCCTCCTCTTCTTCTTCCTCCTCCTCCTCCTCCTCATCCTCCTCCTCCTCCTCCTCCTCCTCCTCCTCCTCCTCATCCCCCCTTCATCCCCCATTTCTTTCATTCCTCTTTTTTTTCTTCCTCCTCTACATATATTTCTTCTTCAAACCCCACGCAACCGACGCTCAATTATCCTTTATCCTTTAGCGTTTCTTCCAAACACATCATTGTCAAGCATACGGGAAACCGTAATTCTTGGGGGGTTAAATGGGCCACTGGTTAAATGGTTGGGCTTCTGTTGGCAATGCCTCTTTCGACATCAGATTTCTCCATTTTCGACAAGCAAAATGCTCAGTTCCGGTAGTTAAAGTTCTCCATAGGTCTCCTAACATGCTCACCCCACGACACGGAAGTACAAAGTAGTGCGATAGCTTCTTAATTACACCTGTCATGCGGATCTGTCCTTCGCTTCTGAAACCATCTTCCACAAACCATCCTAGCGTCTCATACTGATTAAGTTAGCCCGATTTGTGAGCATTCACAGTCTGAGAAATGTCGCTTCTCAATTCATTAATTAGTTTCATACCTGAAATGAAACCCAAACTTAGAAACTATGTACCTGACACCAATAAATTGCACGAATTGTGACTCACTGAGAATAACCCCTCCTAGGTTTTTTTTGTCACGGCCTCGGTCCTTCCCTGCGTAACCTGTTTAACATCAGGCTTTGAGCAGCCGCCGCTCCCAAGGAATATGTGATGGCCAGCCTTACTCATGTAGCGCAAAACGTAAAGGGCGACATCCTCTATGACGGTGGAATTTAACTCACCGGATCACGTCCCCTCCGTAAAGGAAGATAATGTTTTTAATAGCATCCATACTGCAGTCCAAATGCGGAGCAGGAGGCCTGGCAATAGCAATTATATCATGACTTTTTCCTTAATCTCGAGCAGGTTTTTCATGGGGTAAACTTTCGGTTTTTTTGTAAAAAGAGGTCGTACCTTCGGTCTGGCTAAAATACAATTAGTAAGATTACTAATTGTCTTCCACATTGGATTTTTCTCATACGCCCTCCCAATTACACAGGACCAAAGTTGCCCGTCCACAGAACTACTGTTCAATACCCTGGATTAGGGTTATTGGTCCTTCCTACTCACAAAAATTACTAAGCGCAAACAGTATGAAAAAGAAATTGTCTTTTTCTCTAACAACTGGCGAGATTGGGTCTGATTTGTAATAACGATTGTATCTACCACGGTCTGCTTAGATCTAATGCGAGGACTGTTCAGTCGGATCTCGCGATAAATGCTCAGGTTCCAAAGACAGGCAAGGTACTCTTCTTCAGTCAAAGACGTTTACAAACCCTCATGAAGAAAATTTTGATATCTTATACACAACTTTCTCGCGGCAACTTAGCTGCTATTCATTACTGCGGTCTTGAAAACTAGATCACGATTCGGAGATTATGCGAAAAGTGAAGCATCGAGCAAAATAATTCGAGTACTCGCTTCGAAATTCACCACGCATCGCAGTTTTGTAAACGATATGATCCCACTTACCCCCAAAGGTGCCTATATGCGGATCTCGCCGACACATAAAGAGTGGAAAATAGGATACACGTGCATATGCAAACATTTTTTTTCAGAGAACCTATACACAGGCTTACGCGGAAATGCTCTCAAGTTCTTTCATTTGTGCATGTGCAAATGGTGTCGGTGGATGAGTCGCACAGCATCCTATGGGTCAGTCGAGAGAGTCATACGAGCGAGCTAAGGAAACGACTTGACTTTATGTACGATTCAATAAACTATAAGCCCTCTTAGGATCAGATGCCACCTATATTCTGAATCAGTGGTCTTAAGTCTCTCGTGCTAATGACAGACATTATCCCTTTGCTTTGTGAATGCCAGTCTTGCCGACTGGGCCGACAAAGCAGTAGACTTGAACGGAAGCCCACTAGGTGTGTGTGACACGTTTCATACAGCAAGTCTGTGTTATAGCAACCCCGGTCGGCTTGCCTCGAACGTGCCCTTGACACACAATGGGTGCTGGAGGAGGGAGTTAGGCTGGTCCTTTGTGTCCCTTTCACGCGCCGATCCCACGCTATAATAGACCTGATGCTCTTTTAAACCATCATCAGGCGTAAACGGTCTCAACGTAGAGGACTGTCGACCGAGATAACAACCCCGTCCTCCCCCAACAAGGCACGGGTCGTTTTGATGACATCCGTTCTCTAGTGAGACCTCAGATAGTGAAGTCTACTTCAGAGGTGTGTAGGCATCGGCGCGTGCATGAAGCGCCCAGACGTCAGCGATTGCACCCGATCTCGTCTTCAGCCATTCTGAATTTTTTTCTGGTGCGTAGGGTGAAGAGAGAGGGAAAAGCGCCGCAAAAGTTTTTCTCGCATTAACCCAAATCACGCTTTAGTCATCGCTGTTTTCAGAAGGAACATTGGTTTTGGTCGTTTGTAACAAACAACAGCATCGATAGTG